ATATATATATATATATATATATATATATAATCTCCATTATATTTATTTTAAGTATGTTGCGAAGTTTTACCACCCCTCTAAAATTATTAGGTGTCTAAATGTTATACTACTTCATTTTTTAGGTGTCTAATTATCCGATTACATGGAAGATATTGTGTTAAAACTTTAATTCTTAATTCTAGGATGTTTCTACAGTGTTCACGCCTAATATTAACTCCATTAATCTATTACTACCAGTACTACTTCAAGAAAAAAAAAGAACTATGCCCAAACTCTTAATATATTTTGAAAAAGCTTCAATTTACAATAGTTATTCTCTTAAAAAACGAAATATTGCTGTTTAAAGGAAACAAATATAGTAATCCTCTTATAAGGAAATAAATTTTCTAGCGCTTAGTGTTTCTCATTTGTGTATCAGCGTGTACATTTACGATTCTTGTGTTGAAACCAACAACAAAATTTAAAACTAATGTTTACGTCGAATTATTGGAAGTTTAATTGTTGGAAAATGGCATTATTATTATTCTTGCAGTTTTGGGATATGTTACAAAACAGATTTGAGATACGTTAACAAGATGAACGTTAATTTAACGTTTTCTTGTTAAATTTAAACTGGAAGTTTTGAAAATGGAACTCCGGTATTCGCTTCTCTTGTTATCCCGTGCAGATTATTTTAACTGAGCGGAACTGCTGTCCCCCTAGTGGTGGCTGTAAGTAACTACTAAAATAAACGGGTTTAAGTGTTTTACCATACTTTGTGAGTGTTTTGATCTGAAATGATCTTGAGGCAAATTACGCGCTGTAACAATAATTGTTAATGAGGTAATGTTTTCATAACGTCATATGTGAACGATTCTGGATTATTAAGGTGGACAATAGAAAAACATTGAGTACATTTTCCATATGCAGGTATTTTACCAACGTTGAGATGGTGACAGATTTACATGATAATTGTTCACTATGGTGAACAAGGTGATTCTGCTTTTGAAAGAAAAAGGAAATGAGTTGAGAA